ATCCCAAGGCCAGACACTGAGACATGTAATCGTGGACATTGCGACCCCACCTACGGGTGGTCTCAGCCTGTTCAACGTATATGTCGCATTGTCTCGCAGCTCAGGGAGGGAGACAATACGACTATTGCGCGACTTCGACGAGAGAACGTTCAGACAGACTCACGATATGGCCCTACTAACAGAGGATGACAGATTAGAGCGATTGAACGAAGAAACAAAGAGATGGTGGGCGAGAATGGCGGAGGCCCCGGAAACGTGAAACGGTCGACGAGGGGATGACGGATGCGCCGAAGACATGAAACAGACGACGAGATTATTGTCGGGGACTTACGACCCTGAATGTCAGCCTTACGCCCGATCAACCTGCGCTCTTACCTACACTCAATCGACCAGTGTTCTTAACATGCTACTGTCTTGTACAAGTAGCATGGAATCGATGGCGCTGAAAAGTACTAGGCTCGGCGCAAACGTGAATATTGAATGATCAACTCGGCCGTACGTGAAATACATGAGATACATCACATTTTGATGATCAAGCGGATCACACCACGGATCAGGTTCATCTGATTTGTGCGTCAATTTAGGGTCTGGAGAGTGCCTTGACAAGCAAGGCAATCTCATCTTATCTTTCAGACCTAGATTGACATTTGGTGCTTACTCAATGGTGGTCCCTGATAATCAAATCCCAGAGAAATCTAATCTTGATGTGGCTGTGTGTGATTGGATCAATAATGTGGCACAGCTTCCATTTTAGGTTGCATGTTCAACTTACATAATCTCAATTGAACATATTGGACATGTGACTTCCTTTTGGGGATATTTTGATGCAACTTATAGCAACCCAAAAAGGAAATTTGCCTCAATTTTGCAATAGCACATGCTCATATTGTAGGTTTCTTCTCAGCTCTTTAGGATATATTCTCTTATGTGATTCCTTGCACTTGTGCTCTTCAAAACTTCTACACTGTTGTTTAATGCCTCTATATCCTAATTCTTTCAATGATACCCTACATGACTTTCATTGACAACACATACTTCTCTATGCATATTCCTATTTATTTCTAATGTTTTATGCCTTTCAAGTAATGTGCTGCTGTCCTGGATTACATAGTAGAGCCAGCCATTGCATATATATATGGATAGTAACCATTGCCTACCCATCCTGCTTTACCACATAACCGGCTATTTCTACACCCCCAATTTACATGAGTCATGCCTTCATTGTTACAAAGAAGAGTTATTGAGATTAACATGAACATAGAAACAAAGAATACAGTGAAAGCAATGGTCACAGGTGGGAAATCAAAGTGCCCTTTGTAATGCAGGTATTCTTGCTTCAGTAACTCAAAGCAATGTTTCACTTTATTGTAGCAACCAATTCGAAGATTTTCCGCACTTCATTGATCTGAAAATGAGGCTGTATCTATTTCATTCAGGTGCATCTGGTTTTATATTGCAAGGTGAATAGGGACCCTTTGGATGGGTTTCATGCTCTCTGCAACATTGCAATGAGCTTTCACAGTGATAATCTTCCAGATTATGACATCTATGGCAAGGTTGCAATGAGCTTTCACAGTGATAATCTTCCAGATTATGACATCTATGGCAAGGAAACACAAAAAGACCACATGACATTGAATTAGTGTGTCTCAACAAGATTCAGATATTCTACCAATGCAAGTTCGAAAAAAATCGCACTTTTCTGTCTGCCTCTGCAATAGATGTCATAATCTGGAAGATTATCACTGTGAAAGCTCATTGCAATGTTGCAGAGAGCATGAAACCCATCCAAAGGGTCCCTATTCACCTTGCAATATAAAACCAGATGCACCTGAATGAAATAGATACAGCCTCATTTTCAGATCAATGAAGTGCGGAAAATCTTCGAATTGGTTGCTACAATAAAGTGAAACATTGCTTTGAGTTACTGAAGCAAGAATACCTGCATTACAAAGGGCACTTTGATTTCCCACCTGTGACCATTGCTTTCACTGTATTCTTTGTTTCTATGTTCATGTTAATCTCAATAACTCTTCTTTGTAACAATGAAGGCATGACTCATGTAAATTGGGGGTGTAGAAATAGCCGGTTATGTGGTAAAGCAGGATGGGTAGGCAATGGTTACTATCCATATATATATGCAATGGCTGGCTCTACTATGTAATCCAGGACAGCAGCACATTACTTGAAAGGCATAAAACATTAGAAATAAATAGGAATATGCATAGAGAAGTATGTGTTGTCAATGAAAGTCATGTAGGGTATCATTGAAAGAATTAGGATATAGAGGCATTAAACAACAGTGTAGAAGTTTTGAAGAGCACAAGTGCAAGGAATCACATAAGAGAATATATCCTAAAGAGCTGAGAAGAAACCTACAATATGAGCATGTGCTATTGCAAAATTGAGGCAAATTTCCTTTTTGGGTTGCTATAAGTTGCATCAAAATATCCCCAAAAGGAAGTCACATGTCCAATATGTTCAATTGAGATTATGTAAGTTGAACATGCAACCTAAAATGGAAGCTGTGCCACATTATTGATCCAATCACACACAGCCACATCAAGATTAGATTTCTCTGGGATTTGATTATCAGGGACCACCATTGAGTAAGCACCAAATGTCAATCTAGGTCTGAAAGATAAGATGAGATTGGAACTGGCATCATTGGCACCATCAAAAATTGATGCGCAATCAAAAACAGAGCCATTTGACGTGGCAGTAGAGCATGTGATTGATGCTGACAAAGAAAGTGATGAGAAACCAAAGTTGTAGCCCTCACAAAACTGAACAACTTTCATCTACACACATGGGTGATCAGACCACTGGTTGGAGTGCAGCATCCAAAATGGTTCCCATGATGGGATCACTTCAGAAATGATGTGGATCAAAGTTTTGAACAAAAAATGGGTAAACCTAGCCTGGCAGAATGCTCAAACAATCAGCCAAAACAGCCTAGAAACGGCCCCAAAAATGCATTTATTGCCCCCGGCTGCCAGCTGGGGTCCCACCCGCCAGTCGCAGGTACATACCTGCACTCAGGTAGATACCAGACTGGTACATACCACAGTGGTAGCTATGCTGAAAACTGGCCTCTAAGGTGGGTCCCACTTTCGTCATGACGCCCCTTAGAGGCCTAGTTACCCGTCTGACTGTAGTGGATCCTATCGAAGAACATTCTTGCAAGTACTGCTTGTACCCCAGATCCTGCTCACAAAGGTAATCTTCTGTACCTCGCACGAAGGATGTAACCCGCTCCGCGAGTCAAAGGGACATACGAGAGTCGATTCCCTGCCCGCTGTTCATCCTTGACTTCGAGTTCTTGCCAAGACGCCCAACCGATCTAGGGTCCAAAGACAATTCCTCTAGAGCAAAGTCTCGGACCGATTCGCTGCAACTGTGAGATGCCGGGCATCATAGGTCGGATGTTCCCTTTTGGCGTTGCGTCACAGACCAGCATCTGCCAAGGAAATTTCCTCAGTTTCTTCTGGGTCTGCCCAGTGCGCCTGAATGTTTCCCGCCCTCGTCGGTTTCTGCGTCGGCAATAGCCGAATCGCTCCTTCGCCAGCTGCTTGCACTGATTGCGGACCTTGTCTCAGAACACAGACGTACTGTGTCTATTCGCGCAATTCTCCCTGTAATGGAGACTGGTTGGGTCAATCAGGTTTAGGGGAGACATTAGAATCAGATAACCTTGTAATTGCTCAAAGGATGCGGTGAGCGACCGACCGTGTGAATGTAAATGCTGAATGATTCTCGGCTGTCCTCGCAAGACTCCTTCACCTTCCGCTATGCGATTGATATCATGCTATGAGAATCAGATCATACTGAACCATGCGTCTGCTTTGTGTCTCGCTGCATCGTGTTTGCCCAATCTGGCAGCGTGGGATTGAAGAGGGCCGAGATCATTCAGCTCGTCATGATAGCAGAATCAACGCGAAGGCCCGTCGGTGCAGCAGAATGTCCTACATCGGCGATAGATTTTTCAAATTCAACAAAATTTGTCGATATCGAAAACTAGAATGCGAAAGAGATCGTGTGATCGAGCTCAAGTTGCGCACACACAACACAGAAAGCAACAGCACGTGATTCAGTTCGACAGCTTTTTTCGAACGCTTCTCTTCTTTTGCTCCTGGACTTTTGAGCCTTGTCCAGCCACGAACCTGCTGCCATGGCATTTCCTCAATGCCATTCCACTGCCCGACATCGGCGAACGACGAGGGTTCCTAATGCGCTGAGGCCGGCCTCAGACCTCCCGGATCAATCCGGAGCTTCTTCGACCGTTCGAGATTTCCTCTGGCTCTCGCGTCTGGGCGCGTACTTACAACATCGAGAGAACGTTTATAACGTTCCCTGCGGCCGATAGCATGCCTCCATCTCCAGTGCTCTCAGCGATAAGCCGTGTCCAAATTCACACTCCCCTCTCCCCATTTGTCTTTTGAAAACTGCGATGTCGTGCTCTTCTGTAATGGCGTACTACGGCTATGTATGTTCGCCGCCTCAGAATTCATTTCTAAATGATGCTTATCGTATTCTTTTATTTCTTCAGCCTTCCCCACCCGCCCGTGGGACTTACCCATCTCCCGCCCCATCTCATGTCGTCAACATCCCGACTGCGCCGGAATCTCATGTACGCAATCATTCAAATCTCCTATGCACTTCTGGAAACTAAATCACGAACAGAAGAAGAAATCACCATCCCTGAGTCATGTTGTGCGCAAGATCCTCCACCCGCGACGAGACAGCGCTGCGCGCCCCGATCTGTCGCGCAGCAGCTCGAGTTCATCCGATAACGACACGCTCGCGGACACTGAGATCGAATCGAAAGCCCCGCATGCTCCGTGTGCGGAGTAGCACTGCGCCTCCTGCACATGATTGCGATCCATGCGACCACTCGCGACCTAGACCTGTATCTCTACCTAGACATAACATCCAATGTATTTGTGGCTTATAAACGATTCGGCGGCCCTTCTTTTTCTTGAAATGATTGTCAGACCTTGCGCGTATCTGCCCGCCGATTCAGCTTGTTGGTGCACCGTTGTGCAGTTCAGTCATTTACGCCAGCATCCAGAAAGTGATTTACCAGTAAGAATACGAGAGACGCCCTTCACTGACAATGATCCTCCTTTGAAGGAATGCTGGGATCCTTCAGCACAAGTTTTGCACATGCACTCAAGGGCAGCAGTCGATAGCAGAGAACAACATCTGTACATACACGTGTCAAACCCCAACTCCAGGCTCCAGCTCCCCAAGCAGCATCGTCCCGTCCTTGCTGCCTGTCAACACTAGAGGGATACGATTAGCTCCTGAGACAATGGCAAGCAACAAGCAGACGTACAGATCGGTTCCAGAGGGTGCCAATCGACACCAACAACCGTGCCCTTATGCCCTGGCAGCTTGTACAACACGCGCCCACTCTCGACCTCCCAAACGCACACCATCCGGTCTGCGCCCCCCACAGCGACCTGCAGGCCCTTGTTCCCTGCCTCGTGCTTGCTCCACGCGCCCTTCAGCAGCGTGTTCTCGAAACCGGCAGGGGCACCCGTCAGCACACGGTGCACGCGGGTGGGCGAGGGCGCGAATGGGCGGATATCATGGATGATGGTCTGGCTCGAGAGCGAGGGCGAGAGGAGGAAGTTCCCGTTCGGGGATATCGATAGCGATGTGGGCGTGTCGGTGTGGCCCGACAGGGTGGACAACTGCGCGCCTTTTCGGACGTCGTAGATCTGCAGAGACGATTGGAAAGCAAAATGAGTGATCAGGTGGATTGGTAAAGAAGAGAAAGGGCCGCCGTACATGGATCTCGTTGTCCAGAGCTGCCGCATACACACTCGCGCCGTCTGGGCTCCAGCACACCGCTGTGACCGGGCACCCGACCTCGAACTCGACGACCGGTGTGCGCCCACCCGCACCCTCCGCGTCCGCGTCCCACACGCGCACCACACCGTCATCCGAGCCGGTGACGACGAGCTCGGCGCCGGACCCCGCGACGACGCGGTCGACGCTGTTCACGATCTCCTTGTGCGCGCGGATCTTTCGCAGGCGCTGGCCCGTCGTTACGTCTGTCGCGACGAGTGTGTGGTCTGCGGACACCGTGTAGATGGCGGGTGACGTGAGGGACCACTGCAGGTCCGTGATGGGAGCTTTGGCAAGCGCGGTGAGCAGACCGTAGTTGTTGTTCGGTGGATAGGTGCGCCAAAGGGCTATAGGAGAGACAAAGAGGAAAAGAGGGCAGCGTGTCAGTGCCGCACAATCGAAACGAATTGGAGAACGAGCACCCACAGACACTCCGATCTGTCGAGCACGCCGCGATGTTCTGCCCCGTCGGGTCAAACCGACAACTGAGTATCTCACCCTGTTCGAAATAAGCCAGTATACCACCAAGCCTCCGTCAGACCCACACACCGAATGCGCTCCCGCCAAGCTCACGATGGGAGCCTCGAGGTTACTCGTCCGCTGCACCGCACGCATCAAGCTCTTGCCCTTCCCATCCGGGCCAGTCGAGATGGCAATTTGGTTTTCGGGCACTGGAGACGCGCGGGAGCGCTTGATGAGCGCGCCTGGCGCCGAGGTGGGTGAGGCGGGTCGCTTCGACATTTTTGGTGCGGTGAGAGTGTTGGCAAGCAGGGACAAAGAGATCTCGAAACACATGACTTGGATGTTTGGTCACATGGTCGTGAACGCGTCGTGGACGACCTCATCTGTACGTGTCGCAGCAACAGGGGAGATACGTACTTTTGTTCTCTTACACGTTTGGGATCCCATTCTCAATTGAATAGATCATTAATATTCTTGATTTGTAAGCAACATCGTACTGGAAAGTTGACGCAAGGGTAGCCTCCATGGCATCAATTTGCAATTGAATCCTCCACATGACCGTTTGAGAAGAGAGAGGGTGAGTTCACGACTACAGTTTTGAAATCAGACGGCTGGATCGATGCTTGACTCCTGGTTCCCCTGGCCTCGACACGCTGCTAAAACCACACCAGCCGATCTCAACAACCTCCTCTCAACAACCTCCGAGCGCTCTTTGAAGCGAGCCCCCGTCGGGAACCGCACCTTGCGTTTCATCTCTCCACTTGTCGCTTATCAATCCGTGCATGACCAACGCAGAATGATGCGTATGGCCGCCGCCCATTTGTCAAATCCTTTCTCGAACCGGGGCCCTGCCGATTGTGCCATCGCATCGAGAAATTCGCGGAGTGATGGTGCAGCATTATTGCTCGCCGATAATCAGTGCTGTTCCTGGACTCGATGTGTCCAGTCCTGCCCACGCGTGAAGTTAGGCGCAGAGGTCCCACTTTCTTCCGGGCTCCACATGCCCCGTATTGACTCACTCGAGGCGGGTAGCTGGGGCCGTAATGATCCCGCCCGCCGCGGAAACTGTGTGCCTTGAATAACTGCTGCTGTACCGAGCCTCGGATGTTGGACGAAAATGAGCTTGTTCTTGAAAGGTGTCCTGGCTCCTTGTTGGTCATAAAACAGTATGTATGTCTGTGGGAGTCCGAGATGCTTCCAAGCTGCAGCATCGTGTCGCTCTACTGCTGATAGATGTTCACGAATAAAGATCTCACCTCCCCATTCACTACGCATCACTTGGAATTTATTTCAACCCGTCTGCATAGCCGATTGTATCAGGGCTCCAAACAACAGTCCAGTAGGTAAATACTGTGCAGGCGAGTATCATATAAATACTGCTCTGTTCGACAAGCAGAGTCCATCGAACCTCCTCCCACTTTCGACTTGCAGCTCTACGACAAGTTACCATGCAGCTGTCCTCGGTCTTCGTCTCTCTCGTTGTCGCCGCGCTCGCCGTAGCCACCCCCACCACCCCCGCCTCAGCGCCGATCCCCTCGCCGCCGGTATCCCCAGCGACCCATGCCAAACTCGAGGCGATCTTCGCGGAAATGATGGCGAAGAGCAAGAATGGGACTGACGCCGGTGCGCTGGCCAAGCGCAGCGTGCACTGCGAGACGAGCGGCGGCAGCTCGTCGACAGGCGACTCGATCAACGCCGCGCACTACATCCAGGGCCTCGGCAACCAGAACTGCTGCAACGAGAACGGCGTCGGGTCGTACTGCACCACGATGTACACCACCGGCTCCGCCGCAGGTGCGTCAATTTTGCGATAGAATTTTATCTCATTTGATTGATGGTCGTTATCGTTCAGTCGGGATCTGCTCGACCCACGGATTGACCGTGATTGCAGAGTGCGACTACTGCTGGGATGCTGGCAACGGTCTGCTCGATATCGCCAACACGTGCTCTTCGGGTGGACGCTCGGGTGGTTGGGCCGATGCGCCTCCCGACATGCACCTCATCCTCTTCCACTCCTAAGTAATGTGAGCAGATCACAACTGTATCGTCCCTTCACTTGCTGAACGCCGGCAGAAGAGTCGAAATCGCGCATAGTGCACCCAGAAACTAGGCATTATCAATAGTTGACGTCGCCTTCAATTCAATAATGAATACAGTGTTCGCGTCGAACTTGATGAGCCTCCGTCCATTTTGATCGCCTCGTCATGGAACCGACGAGGTCAGGTGATTGTGTGGTGGCGTACATGGGTGCCATCAGAGCTGTCCGTCCTGGTCATTCCACACCGAACTTGCATCTCATTCTCAAAACGAGGTTACCTTGGGAAGCTTTGTTGTAATTGGTTCGTTCATCGCATTCAAATGGCTCTTTCAGAAACAGCGCTGCAACAGAAGCTGGTGACAGGCATCCTTCATTTTCTTGCTCATTCATCTCAGCTCTCACACCATAATGCGCCTACTTGAGCTCATAATTTACATTTCTATGCTCCTTGTCAACTATCGGTAGCCCCATCTACTTTCGAACTAACAGCAGCATCGAACGTCAGCGCGACAACGATGGCCCCTAGAGCCGAATTACCACCCAGCCGCTCTATCTCTGCCAAAATCTGCTTGCGGAGACTGGCCAGCGCCTGGACTGTATATCTAAACGAGCCGGACGTCGATGTGAGATGAGCAAGCACGCGTAGTTTGCGAGTGGGAGTCTGCGGCCGAGCGGCGAGCACGTCTTCATGATTGATGTAAGCGCCGATTGTGAGTTGCGACACGGGTGCTCACGCACCGATGACGGTTGAGTCCTCAGGGCCAGACTGGATCGCGTGGATGATGGGGAAGGAGAACTTGCCCTCGGAAAGATCTTCAGCAAAGCCTTTCCTTTTCGTATACTGTAAGGAAATTCAGCCGTCTATGCTCTAGGGCATGGTCTGAACGAGAGGAGACTTGCATCTGCGCTGGTGATATTCATAAGATCGTCCCGGATCTGATAGAAAACGGCGAGCATGTTGATCAGCGGCACGTAATCGCTGCGTTAGAGGATTACTATGGCGAGTCGAAGAGAGCGGACAGGGATGTAAATCACATTCCGATATTCTTCGTAGCACATGCCATCATCAGCTTCACACAGAGCCGGAGCAGTCCGCCCGTTTCTGTGAAACCCAATCTCCTTAGCTACAGGCAGAGAACACCGACTAACGAGCAGGAGGACGCACTATCGCTGACCATGCGGATGTACTCCTCCTCCGTCGGACACACCAACGAATCACGCCACAGGATATCCAGCCCCTGTCCTCGATGCAAAGCCAGGACTTCGTCTACAGCGGCGGTGTTCAGGCGGCAACGAGGCGCGGCGCTAGATGGGCGGCCGTACCGTTGACGAGGGTGAACAGCTCAAGACTGGACAGGTGCGGTGACTCGATGGACATGAGCTCGCGGAATGCGATAAAGTATACGTAGTTCGCAGCGTTGATGGTTTGCGGGATGCCAAAGATGGTGTGCGCGGCTGGTCATGCTGTGAGCTAGCGTTCTACCAGACACACCAGTGCGCAGACAGACCGGGTTTGCCTCTCCTCAGCTCTGAGCTGTCCTGCACATCGTCCACCCTGCGCAGCATGATGAGCTCCTCGCTTCCGAGCTAACCGCGACACCGACACGCACATGAGACTCGCTGTCTTCAGCCGATCTACAGCTTTCGCGATCCTGGAACACGTCTCCTTGGGCACGAGCATCCATGCATTGAGGGCCTCGATGATGCGGACGATGATGTCTTTGCCGGGGTTGGTTTCGAGGTACGTGAATGGCTTAAGGACGTCCTGGAGCCCTCAATGAGGAGGCCTGACGCCCTGGAAACATCTAGAGCTCACAGATTCATTCTCGTCACCACGTGTCGATGGGTTTGAGAGCTTCAGCAGCAGATCTTCGTGGAAGGTCATGAAGAGGTGTACGAAACGAAACAACAGCCAGCTGCCAATCAATCGATCACGTGCGCCCAAAGGACCCTAAGTAGCTGTTCTGCATAAACCGAACACGATCTTCCACCGTACTTATAGCCAAACTACGCAATGACACAAAGGTTTTTCGGCTTCCCAATCTTCAGCTCTTCCTGAAGCGGCGCGTGCTGTCCATCCTCAGGTCCCGAGGAGTCGCCCTTGGCTTGGGACGCTTCGTCCGACTTGGATTGGCCATCTCCGCGCGCCTGGGAACATCAGCCTTCCATGCGCCGACTTCCCGCGTTGTAGGATCATACCTCGACAGAAGCCAGGTCGAGCGGGACGAACACATCGCGAGTGACCAGGTCGGACAGATCCTGCGGGTGATCTGTCAGCGTACGAAGCTGATGCTGACACTGAGAGAGCTCACAGCCAGATCGGGTGAGACCAGCTCGACTTGGCGACGCTCAGCCGGGGCCGGCACCGGGACTGCGGCCACGAGCGTGGCGTAGGCCACGGAGAGCACGACGGCAACGAGGAACGTGGGCTGCATAGAGTCGAGTAGAATGGAACAACGAACGAAAACAAAGAAGCGAGACTAGCTCGGAACGAAAGCAGACGGGTCCGAATAAGTGGATATGGGCCAGCGTTGTGTGAACGTTTATAAGTATATGATGTTTTGGACAATTATAGCCTCGAATGGGAATCTATCGGTCGCAGCTGCTGCTCGATTCCGGCGATATCAGTGAAACAAAGATCAAGCATCCTGCTGATCGTGGGCGAGCATTGGCTCCCATTGTTGTGGGTACGGGCTAGACCGCAGCTATTCACGTAGCAAGTTCATTGGTTCCCAGCAACGACACCCAGATCCATCCATCCATCCGTCCATTCGTCCATTCATGTATTCAAACGTCATACGGAAGTGGCGGCAAGTCCTTATACAGATTGGCACACTGAGCCTGTGAGTCCGATGCACACGTCGAAGTCGACTTGAGCAAATCGAGCGTGCTGGTGATGGGCTGGGGACCTGGACGCCGCCCCCGCCGCGTGCCGCGCAATAACCAGGCCACCACCCCGCGATAGTCCTGCATCGCATCCGCGCCGAGCCCGAAAAACACAAAAAAGCAGAGGGAGGACATGGGCACCGCCCACCAGAGGATGTAGAGATAGTGTTTCGCCCCGGGCGAGAACTTGGCCGCGGGGAAGAGGCCGATGTTCCCGAAATCGTCGTGCACGAAGGCCCAGCTGACCCACGGCTGCAGCCCGCCGCTGTACTCGTTCGCGGCGCTGATGGACACGAGCACGGCGTTCCACGTCCCGAGGCAGAACGTCATGACCATCAGGCGGATGTAGCGCGGGGCAGTCATCGAGTCAGCGAGCCCATCGTCGCAGATCTCGACCACCTTGCGGAAGGCAAGACGGCGCCGCCAGAGTCGGACACTCGCAGATGAGCAATAAACCAGCGCCAGCGAAGCGGGAATGAATGCGGAGACGTCGAGGATGATGACAGAGGGTAGGGAGATGTAGATCGCGGGGAGGCAGCCGATGTTTTCAACAATATCGAAGCGGTGGCCTTGAACAATCACGTCTGCAATGGTGTGTCAGCCAAGGAGTGAGCCTCGAAAGCGGTTACGCACGAAGAGCCATTATGACCACTGGAAACCCCATACATAGCATGAAATCGAGCAATCGATGGGGCCAATCCGTTCCCGCACTCGGCAGTCCTCGTGCAATTCTATTAAGCCGTCGAGCCAGACACAGCACACATCCCGGCAATCCCATATCTGCCCCAATTTTGACCTTAGTAGCTGTGACACGAGGACCGAAACTGTCAGCAAGAGCCAAAAGAGACACCGGAGCACGAACAGATATCACACCACACAGGCACTACGATGTCCACGTTCCCTGCCCATACCGTGGAATTGACGGCGTAGATGAGGTTGTATGCGAGGAGCCATGCGATGATGGACCGAGTGGCGATGTTTCCGACCCGCCAGTGGTGCGGAAGCGTCGCGAGCACCAGAACGCCGGCTGCCACAGGCGCCGCCACTAATGCGCTCGGCATTGGAAGAAGATAGATAAAGGAGCGAAAAAACGAATAGCGAAGAGAGCGAAGAGCTCGCTGGCACCCCTCCAGGGCGGCGACGATCTGTGAGGGATTCCCAAGTTGTCAATCCCCCATTTGCTGATTTGAAGGGCTTTCTGATTTGAAGCGACCGCATCTTCGATGTGACCGCGGCGTGGGCTCGCTGATGAGGTCCCTTCGTCAGAGATGGATCGATGGTCGTCGAGAGCGGGAGAGAAACACTGACAGACACAGCAGTGCACAGCTTTCGGCAAAGCACCGGCATGATTGATTGGCTGATTCGCCTGCTGTCTCTTCCTGATGGTAACGGCCGCACCAGATATCGATGTCTAGTGTCTGTACAACCCGGAAGAATCGTGGGAGCATCGACGATCTCGTAGGATGAAACTGTTACTCCTTGAAACGTTCGTGATCAATACGGGAGTTGATCAGTCTTGAGCTGTAACAGATGCAGCCGCTTTGCATGATAATGCTGAACTTCTCAATCCATGCCAAGGGAGTTACGATTCAGCGCTATGTTGAGTAAAAGATGAACTGTCCAGAAGAATGCAACGGAATCTACGGGGTGTCATCTAGGTCAATCTAGTCGCAATCGTATAGGGAGATAAAAGCCCTGAGCAGACCACACATCACGCATTCCTTATTTTCCCTGCACAACGGCTAGCAAGCTAGTCCGCCTTAGGCCCTATATCTTATTTCTTTCTCCCTTCACTCATTTCCTTGCTGCGTTTTTTGCACCATGCGTGTCGTATCCGTCGTCCACGTCCTCTCTGCCATTGTGCTGGCGACTATCGCCGCCCCCGTCGATCCTGCCCGGCCCGCGGCACCCGTTCAATCGGTACGGACCGTTCCCCGCTGCATGTGATCGAGCTGAGACTGACTGTGCCCGGCAGCAGGTGGCAGCAGCCTCTAATGATCTGTTCTCCACACTGAGCCTTTCTGCAAGCGTGAGTGCTTACGTGACATTTTTGGCAAGAGATGTTGGAGTTGACGATTGCGTTCCGGACAGCCTGCGGCGACTCATGCGCCCATCGTTGCGGAGGCAGCTCCCGCTGCGCCGGATCCTGGCTGTATAGTTGTATAGTCGTACCCTGCAAAGAATCAATTTTTTTTCACTTCGATCAGCCATGTTTTACACTCAGATGACGGATGGAATGAAAAGTGTATTGGGGGTACGAAGCGGAACTATCCGTGTTCATAATCGGACCAGACCGGATCGCGCTTCATAAACTGTGTTATCACATGATACGGCAATGGTCTAGGGTTTGGATCCGACGGTTGCTCTCAACGCATCCAACGGAACACCGGTCCCGCTCTTCTTCGGTCCCATCCGACCCCCATCAGCCTCCGGATTCCTTCGTCTGTTATGATCCTAGATAGCGCGTACGACTGGGCACGCCCGGCCCCCCATGTCGCGGGTCGTCTTGGTTAGTGCGCTTCTTTGAGCACCACGGGACGTTGAGAATCTTATCATGCACGCCCGGGTGCGAAATTCTAGAGTATGATAAGATGGGTGTATGTCCTGATATATCCTCCGAACTTACGGGGACCGAGGAGTGCTAACATCCGGATAGTTCTCAGCGTGAGGCTGGCGTGCGCTTGACGGACGAGTGTGCGCGCCTGACTGACTTCCATTACATTCCATCACTCACGAGACCGCTGACCATGGGCGTCTTTTCCGTGCGGGCGCACGACGAGGGATCGCGTTCGACCCCGGCAGTCCCACTTTGCGGTTATATCTCCCGAGATCAGATACCGAACCCGCGGATTGGCGGCTTCTCGCACATGCAACCTCCACCTCACGCGACCGCAATCCTTATAACGGGCCCAGCTCGTGGAGGCGCCCCTGCTGAACCCTAGTCATCGAATTGTGACTCGACGAGATGTTCGGAAATCGCGTTTTTGCGCTGCTGGCCTCCCTTACCTTGGTGCGCGCAGCCACGTACAACGTGACGGTGAGTACTGGAGGGCATGCGGTAGCGAGCACGCTCTATGGGATGATGTACGAGGTGTGTTTACTATGATGCAGGCCTCTTCACCGTCAGAGCTGACGGGCGTTTTCCCAGGATATCAGTGTGAGTCTTCCTCCTAAAGCTGCCTAGTTCATGAACTGATCTCCGCCTCCACAGCATGTACGTCACATTTCCAGTATTTGCTTACCGCTGCGAGATTCTCAACGCTATGGATCAGAGCGGGGACGGCGGGTTGTATGCAGAGCTGCTCCAGAACCGGGCGTTCCAGCAAGTCACGCCCGGTTCCCCCGCTTCGCTGACCGCCTGGGCCGGGCTGAACAACGACTCCCAGATCGTCGTGGTCGCACCGGACGTGCCGGTCTCGAGCGCGCTTCCCAACGCTCTGGCGCTGACTACCACTTCCGGAACGACCTCGGCCGTCGGGATCACCAACTCAGGATATTTCGGTGCGTGTCCAGGCGCTGGGTAGGCAGAGCTCGCGGAATTCTTACTCGCCTTTCACCAGGCATCAACGTCCAGAAAAACTGGACATACCACGGATCGTTCTACTTCCGCTTCCCATCTGCACCGAGCACACCTGTCAAAGGCGTCTTCACGGTTGGATTCCTCGACTCGACGGGCAACGCCGTCGCCAAGTCAACACACGCGTTTACTTCCTCCTCGAACTGGCAGCAGATCACGTTCCGATTTACCCCGTCCTCAACGCCGAGCGGGTCTGGGAACCTGTTTTACGTGCAGCTTCCCGGCGCAGCTGTCGCTAGCGGCGGAGGCACGGTGCAGTTCGGGATGCTTTCTTGTTTCCCGCCGACGTTCAAGAACCGGGTGAATGGCATGCGCATGGATATCAGCAATGCGCTGAAGGCGATGAATCCGTCGTTCTTCCGCTTCCCCGGTGGAAATAGTAAGTCTTTTCGAGCGCTCGAATTTGGCGGGGAGTTGACGGTTCGTTCCAGACCTTGAAGGACAGACTGCGTCCGATCGGTGGATCTGGAGCAACACGGTCGGCAACATCGTGGACCGGCCCGGCCGTAAGGGAGACTGGGTATGTCTTCTCCTTCTCTTTATGTCAACAGCCAAGTCATTTGCGACTAGGGATATCCTAACACTGACGGGCTGGGATTGTACGAGTATCTCCTCTGGATAGAGGATATGGGAATCGAGCCGATTATGGCGGTTTGGGCCGGTGAGTGCTCCGCCTCTCCCCTAGCCTGTCTCATCATCGTCGTTAGGATTCACACTCGATGGGACCGCGCTCCCTGCCTCGGCCCTAGCCCCTTATATTCAAGAAGCGATCAATCAGATTGAGTTTGCTATCGGAGACGCGTCGACGAATCAATACGGTGCGCATGAATCTTCCTTCAAGATACCGACGCATATCCATCATTTCTCCCCAGCGGCCATCCGTGCGAGCATGGGCCACCCCGCTCCATTTGCGTTGACGTACATCGAGATCGGTAACGAAGACTTCTTCGATCCGGCGACGTACGACGGCTACCGCTGGACTGCATTCTACAACGCGCTGAACGCTCAGTTCCCTCAACTCAGTGCGTGTGATTCGAGCGAACTACCTATGTCATACTTATGAATCGCAGAATACATCGCCACGAGCGCGACGAGCGGTAGTGTCCCGGCAGTGACAGGATCGTCTCCCCAGTACTGGGATCTGCACGAGTACAATAACCCCAGTGAGTTTGAGTTGATTTGTTTCTTTGGGTTTAGCCCATGTTCACCCCTTGCGCACAGACTTCTTTACTTTCGGATCTTATAACTTCGACTACCTACTCCGCAACGGGCTGCAGTTTTTCCAGGTGCGTGGGAGCCCAAGATGGTAAAAACCAGTCTCAAATTCTCTTGCAGGGCGAGTACGCTGTGACGACGATGAACAACGGGGTGGGAGTTCCATATCCGTTCATCGACGGTGAGCAACTTCGCAACTGTTCGAGTCTATTTGAGACTGGACAGGCTCTATCGCGGAGGCTGCTTATATGACCGGGTTTGACCGAAACAGCGACATCGTTTTCGCGGCGGCCTATGCTCCGCTGCTGAATGTGAGCCATATTTATGCATGTTGCATTGGTCTGATGGTCCTTCAAAGCACGTTTCAAGCACACAGTGGGTGAGTCTTCAGCGATAATGAGCTGGAAAAGGAAATAATCAGCATTTGCAGACACCCAATCTCATCACCCACACGCCGAACTCTTTGATCCTGTCCACCTCGTATTACGTGCAGCAGGTTAGATCCTCGAGGTGAATCAAGGTCCTTGCATCGACTGACTTGAAACAGATGTTCGGGCTATACACTGGCGACACGTACCTGAACTCAACCACCAACGTCGCGGCTACTCCCGTCCAGTGGAGTGTCACCAAGAACACCAAAGCCAATCTGCTCTATCTCAAGGTCGCGTGGCATCCTTTGTTATTGATCGCCTAATCTAATCTAATCTAACCTCGTGTAGGCGGTGAACACGGGCACCAGCGCAAAATACAATCGTGTTCAACTTGCCCTCAAGCTTTACGATCTTGTCCACTGCGGGGACTGGAACAGTGCTGACTGCACCTTCGGGCACAATGAACACGCCAGCGAGCCCGAGTGCGGCTGTGCCTAAGACCTTCACGTTCACTGCTGGGAAATCCATTTCGTACGACACCCCGGCGCTGAGTGCGAGTGTTTTGATAGTCAAGGCCCGATAGACTCGTTGACTGTACCATGTATTATATACCTGTGCGATACTGTTCGCTGATCATGTGACTGTGGAAAGATTTTCGGGTATCTCCGACGCTCCTCGTCCCTGACGTATGTCAATCTTGGCCCTGATGCATGCAGATGCACTTGAGTCCACAGACCCCCTTCACCCGCTCTCATCATGCCCATCTCATTCAAAGTCGCTGATCATCCCACGGAGAGTGTCAATGGTGAATCGCTTGTGGGACCATCTGCCGCCGACATCCTGCACGATATCACCGGCAAGAGGAAGGAGAGCCCGGTGAAGGAGCTGTTCCAGTACGGGCTTAGTGGTACCCCATCTTCCTCGTGCGTCCACTCCCGTAACGCTCCGGAGTTTCCTCCTCAGCACCTACCCCAGCTCCCGTGACCTTACCGCCGCGCACCCCACGCTAATCCCGGCGACCAACGGCTTCGTCGGCAGCGTCATGCGCGCTTACAACGACCACCACGCGCTCGTCCTCCGCCCAGACGACGTCTGGCTCGCTGTCCTCTCGCAGTTCAGCTTCTTCGTTTCTGGACGCTCGGAGGCCCTGCGCGCGGCGTTCGTGCCACACGAGGACCGCAAGCCGCTCGTCGTGCGGTGTGTGGGGTCGCGGCACACTGTCGACTTCGCGCGTCTCGCGCGGCAGATGGTCGACGCCATCGACGAGTGTGTCGTAGATCCGGCTCTGCGTGCGTGGATGATGCCGGCGTTCTCGACGACCACGGACACGGACCGGACGGTTGCCGCGGTGCTGGGGATGGCGACGCTTAAGGACTACTTCACGTACGAGTTCTACTTGACGAGGTGTGGAATCCCGCGCGTCACGCTCGAGGGGGAGAAAGCGGATTGGGAGGGGATGCTGCGCCGGGTGGAGAAGCTGAAGGAGTACGGGGTGGAAGCCATCGCGTGGTACCACCTACTGCGGCCGGTCTTGGCGCGATTCGCGGCTGCTTTTGACGATCCGGAGAGCCAAGACAATGTCCTGTTCTGGGAGAACGTCGCAAGTCGGCTCCGCCTCGGAAGCGGTGTCCGGTACTATGACGGCTGGATCAACGCGTTTTGTGTCTTCGACCAGAAGGGAAACTGGAATGGCGCCCCGTTGGATCTGGTCTGTGCTGTCTTTTTTCTCTGCTGTATTGCGCTCATCTTTTTCCTCGTAGAATGTCACCAGCGTGCACTCTCCGGACTTGCTCTCCGCGAAAGACTTCTGGGCGACGTATGGCTGTGCGCCCACTCGCTCGACCCAGCCTCTCGTGCTTGACGACACCCCCTACCATGCCGTCAATACGAATCTTGTCCCCCTCGGCTACGCACGGGTCGATGTCAAGGTCAGCGAGCGGGACAGGCTGCGAGAGTACGACTGCGAGATGGTGGCGGGGGTCGTTGCTACACGGGTCAGTGGGACGGCGAACGAGATGGTGAGTCCAGTGGGAGGGTGGTGGCTCTACGAGAAGGCTTGAGATTCTTTCTTGAACTGCCCGCCGTCCCACTGCGAGTTCTGG